TTTTTTATAAAAAGAACTTGTATTACTTTTATCCTATATATTTAGTATAATATGTATAATTTGCTAGGGGAATGTCCCGTTACATTTAAAAATCTGCTTGTGTCCTTACAATCCTAGTTAATTAGTCGCCTCCTTTTTTATGGCGGCTGATATTATTCACTTGTCCGATTTAAACTCTCTTAATCAAGCACTAGTAGGCATTGAAAAAGAAGAGGTAATCCATACTGTCTATAAGGCTGCAGAAATTGACAAATAAAGCTGTGGAGTCTATTTTGTCATCTAGATCTGCGCTTGACTCAAGATGCCTTGATCTTTCGTCCTCTATGTGTGATGCCTTTGAAATTATTTTTAAAGCCCTGATCTAGGTGATTTATTTTTACACTGCCGGAATCTATCCAATATCATTAGTAAAGCATATAAACTATCAGATTGCTTAAGCAGCAGGGTCAGACAGCTTGATTTGACTAAGGTGCGTCCTTTTTTATCATATTCGTACTCAGGGCCGAGTTCAGACTACTTTGAATATGGTAAATGGTGTGATTACCTTTTACACATGCAAAACAAAAGTTAAGCAGTCTCTTGACAACGGCAAATATGAGGAGGTATGTGTATTTATGGATAAATACTCACATTTTAGGCTGCTGGATACTTAAACAGATACCTTAGCTTAGAGGAAAGCATAATTGGACTTGCACAAAAATTAGATGCGGGTTAGTCTTTTTCTTTATTGTTAATACTCTAAAGTTCTATTTATAAGCATTCAACTTGTATTTACTAGATGTACCAGTCCAAGAAGCATATGAGGCCCTCGATATTTATCACAAGAAAATGATTAAGTTGACGGAAGAACAGTTTGATTTAGCAGTAAACCAGGGTGACAAAGCTAACATTCAACTTTTCGCAAAGATCTTTCCTCTCATTGGAAGGCGAAATGAGGGATTAGAGAGATTTGGAAACTATATTCGTTCATTAATATCCACAAAAATGGAGCAGTATACCCATCAAAATCACTGTAGGACCCAGTCTTCAATATCAGCTCCATTCGTTGATATGCTTACTCGTCTTTTGGAAGCGGTTGCAGAAATTCTCAAAGATAATCTTGTGTATATAGAAACATTCTATGGTTAGTTGGCCCTTTCCTAAAAACATGCTTAAAAGTGTTCCAAATTTGATTTCCTAACTCTACCTAATATTGCTCGCAATAAAGATGTTTCACTAGCCATTATTTGTAGATGTAGTTCCATTCTCATTCAATAAAATTAAAATAGGTGTGTGAAGAAGTGAACATTTTTTGCGTTCATACCAATTACCGGCTACTGTGATGCCAGCTCAAGCATGGTGAACCTTTACTTTAGCTTTAACATTATTTTTATCCTTATTATTCGCAGGCCCTGGACATGTGTTCACGATAACTAAATCTGCACAAGCGGAATGTGACCGTCAAGCTCGAAGAATCGTGGACAGTTTTCGTTCTCTTCGTCATTTAGACGCCATGACAAATGCCGCTCAACACTGCTTGGCTTCTCATTCTGCTGGAGTCTCTGCATTTAATGAGGCTGCGGCTTCTGGTTGCAGTAGCGTCGAGTCTGTTATATCTGAAATTGTTACGGCAAACTCCCGGGTTGATCTTTATTTGCGCTTTGTCAAACGACGCATTGCGGTAATAATTATTAAGTTATTTGCTATTTAAGCTGCTTGATTATTGTATTATAGGATAGAATTCTGATTTTCTATTCACGTTTTTTTCTAGCATGATATAAGTCAAACGGATACTGAAATTTCCGAAAAACAGGGTATACTATTATCTTTTCTATTCAAATGATTATGTCACCTCTGCCTAATCGTTATTTTATATTTTACAGATAAGAGCAACCAGGCCTATGCTTTCTTCAACCAATGCGAATTGGTTCGATTGATGCAAAACCTTGTTGGCAACTATGTTGTTTTAGAAGGCTTCTTTCTTCACTCAATGGTTCTTAAGGTCTTTATTTTTTATATGATTAATTTTGACTTCACTTCGAATTA